TATAATCGACCATGCGTGTCGACGCTCGTTAAGAGAAATCGTCAACTTGTAACGAGGAAAAGATATATACATAATTAAAAGCTCGATCAAAAAGCACGAAGGCTCGCACGTAGCAATGAGTCGTTTGACCTCGTTCAACGACTTTCGACAAGCGTATTATGTACGTGTTCACAACGCATGAATATCAAGTGCAAGGATATTCCCTTTCCCCAATCTCACTTTGCTACAAATACCGCAGCAACGTTTGTAGGATTATATATTTTTCCTTTTTACGAGAGTATACACTTATTTTTTTTTTTTTTTGCATTCTAAATACTTGAGGGTTACAAATTAATATTGCTAGCGTTAATATACAAAGTTACAAAACTTATACTCTTATGTTTACAGAGAATGCAAAAAAATTTCATAAATTTTTAGATTCAATAGAATCAACATAAATTTCGTCACAAAATATGTCATCAAAAACATGAATCTAATATCTCAAACAGATAGACAAGGACAAAAACTAGTTCAGATTATCTGTGTCAGGTAATCGTTGCAATTAAATATCGATAGAATCGCAAATGAAATTAGACTTTTCATGGCATGTCGAGCGATCATTGCTACATCATAAATTGTGCAACAAACTTTAAATTTGCTCCGATTAAATATCCAGTTAATTAATAAATCGATCATCGAAACCAGATAACTAACACAAAACCTTTCTCATTTCTCCCTAGTTTCTCACGTATAACATACAATATGTAATATATAAGTTATATTATATCTGTAAAATTCTCTGCTGGCTGTTTTTAATATTACGATGATTAAAATTTGTATATCAAGTTCTTAAATTTTTATCTTAGAAAATTGCATTTTATTCTGAATTCCTATTAAATTCTCTTTAATATTTTTATTGAAAAGATTGATTCTGAATCGATTAAATAAAATGAATCATGATAAAAAGAATTGACAAAAAAAAATTTAATTTTGCTGAAAAAAGTCGCTTCGTCAAAAAATTCGTGATTGCGAAATCGAGGATATATTTCGTCTCTGTTTTAATATTAAAACACTTACAATTAATTAGTGTAACACGAAAGAACATAAAAGAGTGTACTTAAATAATTGCATGGTTGTTTTACATCGATGCCATTATACACATCCGGCGGGAAATAACACGCAACAAAATGAATTAATGTTATATATTATGCTGCAATAGTTTGAAATAAATGCGAGTGCATTAAAACAGTAACGGCAATTACAACAAATTGATTATCAAACAGTTTTCACGCGGGTTTTATCGCACCGTTTGATGCAGAAAGTGTGTCAGGAAAACGCATCGCATTTAAAATGTAAATGCGATTGCAGCGCGTATACTTATACATCTACGCACTGTTTATGTATTACAACGCGTAATAACTATGTAAATATTATAATGTATATATATTTTTATGAGAATAAAAATAAAATTATTAACAAATAGAAAATGCTGCATAAAAGACAATTGAGAATTGCCGATGCTGCGATAAACATTCCGATAATAACGAGACAAAATTAAAATTAAATGAGGAACATTAAGTAAAAGCATGAAACAGTTCGATTGAGCTCAATTAGTCGATCACAGTTCAAACTGAGATCAATTCAATGATCAGAGCAATGCTGCCCTAATTCGGTCACATAGGAAGGTCGAAACAAAGTCGTGACCGCAACTCGATCATTCAATTTCGTGGGAAACATCGTCGGTCGAGCGTTTACTCTAATTCCAGTTTTCTCTTCATTAGCATCCCGAGTGACGCAAATAAACGTAATAACGTTGGTGAGTCATAATTCCTCAAACGCTACCCGGTCAAATGCGCGAAACCCCTAACGCGCAGAAAACTCTTTGGAAGCCTATCCGATAAAATCGGATTTTCTGCCATTATTCTGTGTGTTGGGAAAGATCCTATATACAACACACGGTTTATGTAATGCAATCAACGATCCCGAGAGAGAGAGAAAGAGAAAGAAGGAAAGGATTTTTCGGCGGGTAGCATTGTGCATTCTCTCGATCCGGTTTTGAAACCCGATGATGCCGATACGCGTGTGGCACCAGTTACATGACATGTAGTGAAGCAGGATGTCATTTCATGAGATATATGACTGTCACGCCAATTATAAATGAGCTGATATTCCGAATTTGCAATGATTAAATGAATATTTTCATGTATGAAAAATATACAACGAGAGAGAGAGAGAGAAAGAAATAAAAACCATAAAATTAATTTTCTTTTTTCGTATAATAGACTATCAAGATCGCTGATTTAACATCTCAAACTAATTGTGATCGAAACTGTTATCTTTTTTCGCTTCTTCTTTTTATATTATAATTATTATCAAATCTATGCGATGAAAATAAATCCATCTAAAATAAAACTTATAATTTAACTTATATTTTAAAAAGAAATACATATTTTCTTTCAAATTCGGAATAATTTTATATGTGGTGCAAATTATTCAACTTTAATTGCCATACAAATTTATTAATGTACATGAATATAATATATATTAATCGATAATTACTAGTTAGCTAATTTAATTATGTACGCGAAATAATCCATAACATGGTATTGACATAGATAATTATCGTCAGTGAAAGTAACAGTAAAAGTGACAAAATTTGTACTTATACAACATACTTATCGCTGTCAACCGGTTATCATTTATATGTTGTAAGAAAGATATCATCCTTCTTTTTTATCACGATTATTATATCAAAGAAAGCATGCATAAAATGAGGGAACGACTCATATGCAACTTCTAGATCCGGTTTTGATAATTACTCTCGCCGACTCGGTAGCTCTATTATGATCTAGAAAGGAAACTTTTTGGCTCTTCAGCCTCGACCGGATTCGATTTTTATACGTGAGGCATCCTCAACTACCTCGAGAGCCGGATATTCGGGTCTGGATCGAGGTGTTTCGTAATTCATTATAAAGGTTTCTCTTATACTCTGTACAATACACTTACGCACCACGCCTGTGCTCACTTTCTATAGCGGAGGAGAACATCGAGAGGGAAAAAAGATTGCGGTTGTCGCGCGATGACGACACGTTCGCCGCCTTCGTCGGGACTGTCTACCTTCATCAGGTAGACTGGATTTCCGATACTCAATCGCGTTCGCGACCGTCGTTTTAATTCATTTTACGAATGCTCCTTTAGTCATAGAGATTCTGAGACAAATTTAAAACTCATTTTTTATCGAATTTAATGTTACAAAGCTATTTTATTATGTCGAATAAAATTCGAACATATTATTCTCGTCAATTGCATAACACATTCAATTGTATAATATCTGTTATACAAATTTTATTACATTTGTGTGAGAGCCTTAGAAAGTTCAAATTGGAAATTAAGATGTCATCAATATTCACCAAAAAGAAATTGACTTCGTTAAGAAATCTATGGTTCAAGGGATTATCCGGTACGTTATGTTCATCAACGAATTATGTATGCAAATTACTGGCCAATGTGTATATCCGCTGTCATCTCCGATTACGCGAATTATTCAGGTAGTCGCCTTCGCATTGAAAGCGTCTTTTAGTTTCGCGAATAAACGACGCTATAAAGGCTTCCGGCAATCAATTGCGAATATGGAAATAACTTGATAAACCTCGATAGCAGAAGGATCGGTGACGCATAATACGCATATCGATCTATGTCATTTCAACGGGATTCAATAAACTGTTCACTGCCAGCGCGTTTCACGCAAGCACCGTTATCTGCGTTATTATCTCTTCGATTGAAATTTACGTCACACGCGAGCCTGTTATAACAGAACTCGATCTCATCCCCATCAAATTTGACAATTACACGCCACGTAACATATACGTAAAATACCAAAGAAAGTAAAAGCAAAGAGAAATGTGTTTGTGTCTCTATATATGGGCTTACGAATATATACGTAATCGAAAAAGCGATCACCTCTCATATATCTTATATTGCCCCTCTTCAGTTTAATCTACGCAAATTTTAATACATTGCTTTATATACAATTAAACCTGTGAAATTAAACAAATAAAACAATAAGTAACAATAAAAAGTACAGCGATATAGCGACAAAAACTAAATGTGTATTGATATAATCTATTTTTAAATAATCGTTTAATTTTGGAGTTTTAATTGTACATTAAGACAAAGTGTTTAAGTACTTTAGAAAATCGAAATTAATTGAACTCTATACATTTGTACAATAATAATCATTAAATAAAAATAAATAATTAGAAGATAATTTATGACATAGTGATCGTATTAGCTATAGATGTAACAAATGTCAAGTTGTTATGCTATATCGTATTATACTTGCATATATAGCTTATTGCATCAGTGTGCATTTAGCCTGAAGGCCAAGTGATCCAATATTTATTTCAATCAGCTTCTACGTTTTTATATGTAGTAGAAAAAGAAATATCACAAGATATTAAATTACGATAATAATGTAATAAATTGTGAAGCTAAACAGAATCAAATCACATATCATTTAGCAAATGTGAAGAAATAACATCGCATTTTCTATTTAAAGTATCATAATCTTGATAGATTAAAGATAATAGTAATTCACTTTTAATTATTAATTATTGTATTTATCTACATGTCATCTCCATTGTATTTCTCACGCGTCGAAGATACAGATATATGTGTGATGTACAATTCAATCTTCAAGAAAGGTTGAAGAGATGACATATTGTGTCCCTAGTTTAATATCCACGAAATATTAACAAAATAAAAATGAAAAAGAAACTTAAAAAATTAAAAATTGATTTGACTAATTTACGTATGATTCGTACTTTCCATATGCGTATGAGCGAATGTACGATCGGGACAATGTCTGACTACGTTGGGGAAGAGCGAGACAACAGGCTCGAAAACGAGGCAAAAGGTGTATCAAACAACCAAGTAGAGGAAAGGTGTGTACCTCCTGCGAGCTTACCAGCTCAACGAGCGGGCAGTTACCTTTCCGTTCTACGACCGCGAGGATCTACCTCCCTCCATACTGTAGAACTCGCTGATCACTATCTCTAGGTGAGTTTTACGCGCGAATATAAATCTCGCGATTCTTAAAAGCAACATTAACAACATTACGCGGATTATCGTCTAGTGTTCGATCCTCTGTGGTGCTTACAAGCGCTTGAAAAAATATTGTTTGTTATATAGAATTTGTGATTTTTTACGGAAGTGTCTCTATCACTCGATTTTATTTGATTGAATTGTGGTAAGTTGTAAAGTAGATAACTAGACTCTATACGTACATTAAAATCTTAAAAAACACTATAAAACATGAAAGTCCTATAAATACAATATTTTCTAATATAATTATAAATCTTTTGATTTGTTTATTGAATGTTAATCAATTTCGCGATAACATGATATTGCGTATTAGCCAGATGTAATAATGTTATAATAACATTATCACAATACAGCTATATGTTACGTATCGTTTCTTTTACAAAGAAGAAACTTATATACATTTGATGTCATATAAATCCGGCAGAAGATTGGCATGATTCATGCTAAAGGGTATAGTCGTTTCAACGTCGCCGGAATATTCAGGACACTGCATTTTAATTTTTGCTTTGATAGCTTTCACTGTTGGTCGCAATTTGTTTGATCATGATAGTGTTACAAAGTAACTGCAATCTACACTCTATACAGATACGTCAGAAGCTCTTATGACAAAGTGAAAAGTTGCATTAATGACTCTGTTGATGAGAATGATGCAGCTTACATAAGCATTAAAAAACAATGACACAAAGGGATAAATTTCCTCTCACACTTCTTAAACAGAAAGCATTATTATAGTGAATTGTGCATAACGTTCAGTAATATATCTCAATGACTAAAATTTAAAATGTGCATTTTTTTCAAAAATAATAAACCGGTATTACTTAAAAAAGGTTAATTAATGAATAATGCAAATAATATTAATAAATTTTCGAGTAATCGGCAATTATATTAAATTGTTAACAAATTTGTAAAATTATTAAAACTATATCAAAGAACCGTTAGTATCAATTAAATATAATTACGCTATCAAATAAGAATTATTTTATACGTATTATTAATATTTTTCTTACATAAAATAAACTTTTCATTATATTAATTTTAGAAACATTCATATAAAGATCTTGATATATTCTACTTATCGTTAGTGCCACTTCAACTTTCAATTTCATATCATTTTGAATTTCTCGCGTTTTATATATAAGCATGAGAGGATTCATTTTTTATTTTAAAGATGGGAGTGAATTTTCTATATCGGATATGTAGATCTTTCGATGCCGGAAGCTAATCTGATTGATCTGTTGATTACATTTTGCTTCATTCCCGCGTTTGGATTCCGTTAGTACTGCCGTTTGACATATCTGGGTTTAGTCGTACCGGTTCACTTACAACCAAGGCAAGGTATAAAATTCGTCTCTGATTTCATTCAATGATATTAACAAATAAAAGACTTTTTTTCACGTTTCTCGATTATTAATATATATATACATATATAAATATAAATAATTTAATGTTGTAAATATTTGTGCAAGTTGTAAAAAATTGATGCAGTTATCGATAGCTTAAAATCTAGAAGTCTACTCTAGCGCAATGGCGATTAGTAATTAGAAAATTATTAACGCGTTATTAAATGCACAGCAAACTACTGCGAGAAACAACGAGATTTAATAGACGGCGACTTATATCAATCGTAAAACTCATTCCCCGTTACTTCTTAACGCGATACAAATTTCACGTTTTTCGTACAAACTGCCGTTTCCATCGACTTTACGAGCATGAGACAGATATTACGTAAAAGAACGTGTCAGAAAGTGTGGTTCCAATATCGAAGTGTGTTGAAATATCAACTTATATAAATGTAAATAATAAAACAGAGTTTTTGTATTTGCAAATACGAATAGATTGCATAAACACAATATTGTTAAAGATAACACACTATGGAAATATATTTAATTGAAAACTAAAATGAGTAATTATAAATAAAACGACTAAAATAGAATTATAAATAAATAAATAAATATTGAGAAGATACTATTAGAGTAATTACGTTGCCAAAATTCAATTATATATTTAGAAATTAATTATTAAGTTCAAGGATAGGCATACTTAACAAAAGGCACTATTTATCTGGGTATGCGAAGAAAAAATGCAGAAAGTATTTAGCTGCAGTATTTACTTGTATCTAGGTCTAATCTCATTGCGAGGCCGTTTAGCAAGTGCTATCACGGCATCTCGAAGACGCTCGACATAATGAGATAAAAATATCGCGTGTCTAGTACGCAAACAGTATGAAAAAAGTAGCGATACTATCATCGCGATTCTTGCATTCTTAAGCGGTACACAACATTCGTTACGCTCGCCTGAATTAAATTTCGCAACGAAATGATGCTGTTGCGTGCGCGCCGTATTTTTTCTGCATTATATTGTATCCAGCGAAGCACACAGCCGAGGTGGACTACGTTCCATCGGAATCCGATTCGACGTAACTTTCCCGGGATTTGTTTGCCTACACCGCAACAATGTAATATCGAGCAGTCGTAAACCCGCGATTATCATGAACCGAGCGAAAGAATCTACTGGCTGAATTGCAATTTATTTGTGCGAATGAGCCTAGCAAAGCAATCAAGAATGTCAATTTTTGTCTCAAAAATACAGATGTAAATTATTTTTTTATCTTGAAATGCAATACACGTAAAACAATTTTTTTTATGAAAAAGATCGAAGAAATTTGTATAAAATATGAATATATCAAAAACCACATTTATTCCAATCCATTATTTTTAAATAAAACAAAATAGGCAAAACACTTTGGAGTACAAAGAATTTATATATGATTTCCAAAATGATTATCGAAATCAATAATAAAAAAAACTAAAAAATTTGATCTGTCAACTTGCAGGTAGCTCGAGAGGAACGAGCCGCCCGAAGATGACGTCGATCCTGCTCGCGTACGCTACTTTCATTGCGTTTTCGTGTGTGGCGCAGGCGATCTCGTCGTCCTGGAGACCGATCCTGCCGGCCCATAACGTCGGCGCAGGTATATTGCATCAGGAGGCATCGATTTTCGAAAATGCGCCTACGCAGACGCTCTACGACGTGGACAGTTCTCTGCTACTGCCACACGACCAAGAGAAATGTTCTCTTTACAAGGTCGCCATGACCCAGCAGTTGTATTTTGAGGTAAGTAGATTACCGAGCATATCAAATTTTTATATCGTATATTTTTATATAGTAATTGTACCGATAAGTCAAAATGTTTAAATGGAAGATATCCAAAAAAATTAGCAAATATTATAAGAGAATCAATGGCGTTATAATTAATATTTCGTTCAAATAAAATATCCACTAATTAATAACTTGCTATATTGAAGTAACCAACGTTAACAGACATAGAAAAGAATCGTGTACGTCGTATAACAAAATGTGAGACATTTCGAGTCACACATAAAGATTATACATATATGTGGCACATGTATAAATATATACATATTATGCAAGATGAGAATAATCATGGCAATAAAGTCGTTTGCAGAATTTTTTCCTAGTTGTAGTGTAGAACAATGTTTATTCTAGTTTAGCGATATCGATATTGTTGTATTCATGCATGTATATATTGGGAAACGTGAATTGCAGTCGCTATTGTCGCTATTGTCACTATTGAATACAAATTGCTCTATAGATAGCGATTAGATATAATGTAATTGGAAACGCGTTGCTAATTATGGTATAATTTCGGGGTCATCTGATATATCCCACAATTTGTAAGATGTGATTTTGTCATTACAAACTTTATTCAATAATTGCAGTGTATATCTATATATTATTGGATATATAGATATATGAATAAAGATAATATATTTTATAATATTTTTAATACATTAAAATTATAGCATTATATAAAAAATACAATAATCTGAAGTATTACAATTTGCAAATTTTATCAGTGGGATTCATTGATAAATTTCAAGTTTTCATTTTAAGAAAATATCTTATAACAAAGTATAAGTTCCTCTTAAATAAATTGCAAAGATTTATATAACAATTTCTGTGGCACGGTGGCTATACTCTTCCTGATCCGCGTCTCGCGTGCAACTAACGCTAACGGAATTCTGCCGTTCATATGCTACGTGAAGCGCATTTTATGCTCGAGAGAAAGAGAGAAAGAGCATTGGCATTGCACTGACCAGGAGATTCGCGATGCAAGCGAAATGGCAACGAAAGTAGGAGAAAACACTCTCTCGAGATACCAAATCCCTCCGGGCGCAATCTCGAAACGAGTCCTGAATTTTTTACCGATGTGATCCGGAATGGCGAAATCGTTACATCTGTTTCTTAATTGATTTACTTATCGTTAATTCGCTGCTGTCTGTATATCGTAAGGTTCGTTAAAGACAGAATACAGGAGCCATTTCGTCTTTAACGTAAACTCACAGTCGAGAAAGCGAACATTCTAGGCAAATTATTTGCTCATCTGATACAGCAGCGGCAATATTCCTCGGTAATTTTTTTATAACAGCCGGAAAATAAATCGTAAGATCAGAGAGACATGATTAGCGGAAGTTACTGAAGACAAATTGCTTTCCAGCAACAAAAAATTATTATTTAAACACATATTTAATAATTTTATAATTGCTATTAAATTTTTAACTATTCAAATATTAAACTGTAATAATTATATACTATAAATTTTTAAAATAATCATTATTTCCATTATTTTTTTGATAGATATAAATTTTAACGTTAAGAAATATCGCAATGTCACATTTTTATGTTAATTAATATTCAGATTATGATTATACAACACATTTGATGAAGACAGTTTTGCTCTATCGAGTCACTAAATGGAAGACGTTTACTTGACACTTTAACTATCTTTCACGTTGCAAGTAATAGACTTGACTTAAAGAGAAAGGAAGTTAAACTACACCGGTTTATTTAGAGAACGGCGATTTTAACAGCCTTCACCAATATAGCTGTATATGTTTCCATTTAAAAACAATAAATCTGTTATTAAAATCTTATGATATAATTTAATATAATTCTAATAAATCTCTAAAGGAACATTATAATTCAATATAGTCTTTATAATAATAATTTAATCAAAAATTATTCTTTTCTTCTTTAAATACGCTAAGAGACAGTCCACGATTCACAAAAATGAGAAAAATGTCAAAAATATAGAACTAAATTAAACTTTCGCGCAATCTACAATTGCAATTCTTGCGAGAATAATCTATCGATGCGATCGGCATGGCAAAATTGAACGCGATGGAAAGCGGGCAGAACGGATAGGACATTTTCTCTGTTCATCAAAATCCGTGCCAAGTAATATCATCGGAAG